CACCGTAGATATCAATTCAAGATATTTTGCACTGAAAAACTGTGTAATTCTAGTTGATAATTAACAAACAAAGTCACATCGTTGAAGCAATCTTTCCAACTAAAATACTATCCGCCACGTACCAAACAGATATGCAATCAATTGTCTAATGAAAGTGGAGTTTCATAGAGGCAGAATGATGTTCGAGTAAGATAGAAAACAAACCTGTAATAAATAACTTTTGCATTGTTTTGCATATTTTCGACATTGAAAGTCAGTAACTCATCTGTGATGTCACTAGCTGCCTTTCCAGGTGCACCCAAATTGGCCATAGTTTTCTTTCCGACTTTCAAACAAACTTCTGATGATGGGAACATAGAAAAATGATTCAAAAATGAAATCAATAACATGAAATCCAACAAAACTGTTGAGGAGCTATATCCCAAAAATATAAACCAAAACCCAAGTCCAAGTCCAACAATCGTTCGCTTTATCATAAATTTGTGACACACAACTTGCCGTCAAACGTAAGAAAATAAATAAAAACATTTTAGGTTATTCAGCAACAATTCTTAAAAATGGTTATATCGTAAATACATATAAAATCGCCCAAAACAAACGGCAACCTAATTTAGATGTGAAATTCAAGAAATTTATCGGTGACCCATGATAAAGATTTCCAATTTCGAGTGGATTGATGCGAACATTATCACACACATTTATCCAAAATATTCAGGGAAGTAAACAGATCGGTGTGAAAGGGAGATTTTAACATCAGAAATTGAACATTAAGAATATATATAAAAGCTTTAAATTATGAAGTGAGCAAGACATATAAATAATCTACACCCTTATTAAAGATACCTTGAAATTTGCAGGAGATGAAAAGAATCGGAGGAACCCTGCAAGTCCTTCGTGAAATTTGCAGATTGTTGGTGACTCCGCACTGTTGTTTCACTGTGAAGTACAATAAAATTTGGAGAAATTATTAAAAATACCCAAAACAAACCAATAGCCTTTCCAAAATACCCCATTTCACTATTCAANGCAAGCGAAATAGTATTTAAACACATACACAACTTGCTGTCAAACGTAAGAAAATAAATAAAAACATTTTAGGTGATTCAGCAATAATTCTTAAAAACGGTTATATCGTAAATACATATAAAACCGCCCAAAACAAACGGCAACCTAATTTAGATGTGAAATTCAAGAAATTTATCGGTGACCCATGATAAAGATTTCAACTTTCGAGTGGATTGATGCGAACATTATCACACACATTTATCCAAAATATTCAGGGAAGTAAACAGATCGGTGTGTGAGGGAGATTTTAACATCAGAAATTGAACATTAAAAAAATATATAAAAGCTTTAAATTATGAAGTGAGCAAGACATATAAATAATCTACACCCTTATTAAAGATACCTTGAAATTTGCAGGAGATGAAAAGAATCGGAGGAACACTGCAAGTCCTTGGTGAAATTTGCAGATTTTTGGTGACTCCGCCCTGTTGTTTCACTGTGAAGTACAATAAAATTTGGGTCAACTTGATTTTCTAAACGGGCTTGGGCTGATTACATTTGGGCTCATTTAAACAACCAAGCCCAAGAAAGAACAAATTTGCATATGAGGAAATTACACTTAGACTTGGTTTTAACATTCCATTTTCATAAATCTTGAATCAAGTTTCATAATGCAAAATCAGGTTTTAATTAAAAATTTAAAAACATTTTTTTATTTTT